AAAAAGCAAAGATGTCACTTTGAGGACTAAGGTGCGCCTAACCCAAGCCATGGTGTTTTCAATCGTCTCATATGCATGCGAAAGTTGGACAATGAGTAAGGAAGGCAGAAGAACTGATGTCTTTGAAGTATGGCATTGGCAAAGAATATTGAATATACCATGGACTGCCAGAAGAACGAACCAATCTGTCTTGGAAGAAGTACAACCAGAATGGTCATTAGAAGTGAGGATGGTGAGACTTCGTACTTTGAACATGTTATCAGGAGGGGCCAGTCCCTGAAGAAGGACATCATGCTTGGCAGAGGGTCAGTGGAAAAGAAGACCCTCAACGAGATGGAATGGCTCTGTGGCTGCAACAACGGGCTCAAGCATAACGATTATGAGGATGGTGCAGGACAGGGCAGTGTTTCGTTCTGTTGTACATAGAGTCACTATGAGTCGGAACCGACTTGACAGCATCTAACAACAAGGTTTAATGTATTCTCCACAGAATCAGAAAAGCTTTCAAAGTACTATACTCTATTACTTATTAATCATCCTGATTTAAACTTTTTCTTTATATTCTTCTTCCTTTTCCCAATCTGAAGTGGTGGTTCATTGGTAGCCTGAACGTTGCTAAGATGCTCAACAGGTTTCAGTGGAACTTCCAGACTAAGACTGACTAGGAAGAATGGCCTGGAGATCTACTTCTGAAAATTAGCCACTGACAACCCTATTCCTGAACTTAATATACTTTCTAAGTGTGACCCACTGTTTTTCTGGTTTACATTCTCCATCACCTCAGGCCTCTGTGCTGTACCAAGCAGTGTGAACTTCCCACATACAACCATGCCAATGATGCATGTCTTATTCTGTGAATCCATCCTTGAGCTAATTATCTACCCTGCCTGGGACACACTGAATATGGAATGAAGTGCCAGGAAAGGAAATGTGCCTGGAGGGCAGCCCAACTCAGGTTCTGGAAGAACAGACCGATATGTCTGAACTTAGACACTGAGAAGGATTTGCTGGTGACTCCGTGTTCACCAGTAAAGGAGCTACATAGGCCACAGGGGGCGCAGGGTCAATGTAATTCCTTTTTCTTCTCGTGAGGGGCTGTTGAACAGCCCCCGCCTCATGGCGACCCCATGGGTGGTGGCAGCACACGATGTGCACTGGCTGGGAATCATATGGTTTTGCTGCTATGTGACAAGATATGATTTTACACAATAAAGAAGCGCCTGCTGTAGTCAGAGGATACAATGTACAAAGGATAACAGCAGTGAGCAGGGCAGTGCTGGTAACAGTTTGCTTCTTGTGCCACATAATGTAAAAGGTCCTTCAGCACAGGAAGAGAACAATGTTACTGAGTGAGCTACCTACCTACTGTGGGAGCATCCTACCCAGTGATCAGAGTGCTCGGCAGGCATGGCTCATTGGCAGGGCACTGATTTTCAGGACCGCTTCAAGCACCACCTCTCGGGCAGCTAACAATGGGAGATGAGACTCTGAGCATCAGTTACCCCTAGGGTCTAATCTTCCCCGCTAATATTATTAACTGTTCCCTGTGGACATCATTTACATGCTATCTTTATGGATTCCCAAGGAGCACACACATATCTACATGGAAGAAAACTTCTTGATAGATTAAAGCATAGGACTGCAAGCAACTATGATTTTTATTTATTTCAGCTTACAAATTAAGTTTTCAAATTAATTCAGCATAATCTGTTCATTTAGGGTTTTTCATGGTAAAGTTCTGTGCTTTAATACCAGGTGGCTGTAAATCACAAAATCCTTTCAGAAAAAGATATCTTATTAACCATTATACAAATTGCATTCTTCATTACTTGTTCACTTCCAAAGAAATGTTCACAAATGCTTTAGGCATCTGATTTACTATTGCAAGAGGGCAGAAACATTTACTGTAGCGGAATGCTATAGTTAATTCACTCCTAAGCATATTATTCCCCTTATTTTATTGCAGGAAATCTGGCTTTCTTTAGTATAAAAAGAAACCAAATATATATATCTAACATCTTGGGTTAAGAAATACACTGGGACCTTGTGACTTA